CATACAAGAACGGAAAATATCTTCCTTAGCCACATCTCTTGAGAAGGGGAAGCGGCCTTATTTGTTGGCAAGTTTCACACTCTAGCTGTGCTGAGATCAAGTTCTCCATCTCCTTTAGCTTCCTGCCTCTCCCGATACTCCACTCTGCATTTCAGCACCTTTGGGCATCAACTGAGTGTATTCTTTGATTGCCTTACCCTGGCGTGGGGATTCCTTTTAACTAGAGATCATAAAAGTGACACTAGCTGCTTTTTGTTCCTTGGACTTCTTTTTCCACCCTTCGGGATAATTATACTCTTTCGTGCCTTTTATTATTGTGTTGCTTTGGACCTGCTAGCCTTCTACACGCCCGCTTCTGCTCTCCGCCCTAAACCATGCTCATTAGGTCTCTTAATCCTCCATAATCTGCTTTCATGAAGTCTTATGCCTTTCAGACGCTGTGTTCTATGCGCCCATTTCCTTACAGCCATTGCTTGTATAAGTATTCTAAGAAGCGCAGAAGCCACAAGCGCCAACCATCGGCTTATTCGTTTTCTATAGAGAACTTCGTTTTGAGTGTTCATGGGCCGTGAGACTATACCTTTTAACTTGGTAGTTCATTTTTTCACCCAAACATTGTCTGAGATGTTTAAAACTGCAGCATAAGCCTATCGGCAGTCTTTAGCAGATAATCACTAATGTGCAAGCATCAGTCTTAGATCGAAAACAACATCCCACTGCCCTGCTGATTAGTAAATCCAAACTATATCTTTGCATTACCCCTAGAATTTAGAAAAGAATAAACCAATATTTTTTTTTCAGTTATTCTGCAGGAGCATGGATGCTACCAATGTCCTACAATCTCACTGAAGACCTGGGTCTTTTCAACCACTCATCCTCATTTTTCTCCATTCCATTCATTGACACTTCTGTGAAGGGGTATATCCAGAATGTCCAAAACAAAACAAAACATAACAAAAACATGTGCTTTCCACTTTATTTCTAACTCTCTGGGAGCCTTTGTATAGAAACACTGTTTTGGTGTGTGAGCTGAAAGAGTTAATGAATTTTCCAAAGGTGCCAAACTTTCCTCCAGCAGAGCTTACACTTCAGCTCTGTCCACGCTGCTTTCTGATCCTCCCCATCCAGATGACAGAAAGCAAAGCCAGAGTTCTTTAATAGGTTTGCATCCACGCACTGACCTCCAGGGCTCTGTTTATACAGCCTATCATGCAGAATGTTCTACAGTTCTCTGCCTTTCAAAAGCATGTTTCTCCGGAGATTTGAGATACGGCTTTCACGTTTGATCACCGTATTAAACTCAATGCTCTGCTTCCTCCAGCGTCAACTAACTTCCCTGCTTGGGTGGTGGGGTGACAGGCCCAGCCTCTTGCTCCTTCTGAACATAAAAGGAAGACTGTTTCACTCTCTTAGTAAGATCTCCAGGTCCGCACGCTCTTAGGCAAGAGACATCAATTAGGAACTCGTGTTAACATCAAAACCTTCAGGTTTCTTTAGAAAGAAGGCCAGCTCACTCTTCTCAACTGGCAAAGCCAAACTTTGGGTCATTGAGTCATAAATCACCAGAACACATTTTTAAATCAGTGTAAAACTCGGCACGTAGAAATCACAGAGAGAAGCAGGATCTCCAATCGTGTCCCGCTTCATCACGAGGACAGGGAGTTTCTGTGAGTCTCAGATCAGAATAAACTCAGTGCCTCTGCTCCAGCTGCAGGGGTTCCTTATTAGATGACTTACCAGAAGCAGAATTTCACTCTCTGCACCTGAGTATGAACACGCAAGTGCCACAACCCTCTGATTCATAATCCGTGTGTGGCCCAAACTTCCACAACAGGTAACAATCCTGAAAACTTAGTTGCCCCCATTCAGGAGGGCAAAACAATCTGCAATTGTCAGATTTTTAAATACCACATAAAATGTACCGTCCCTTAAAATATTGTGAGGAAAAAGCAAAATGAATTGCAAATTATTAATAACAGTAAAATTTAGATGATAGTTATGTGGTGCTCTTTGGGGAATACTATACTCCCTACTTTTAAGTATGGCTGAAATTTTCAGTATAAAAATTTTAATTTTAGGAGCTAGAAAAATGGCTTAGTGGTTAAGAGCGTTTACTGCTCTTGCAGAGGACCCGGGTTTGGTTCCCAGCACCCACACAGCAGGTCTCAACTGCCTGTGACTCAAGCTCTGGGAGATCCATGCCCTCTTCTGGCCTCTACCAGCACTGCACATATATGGTGGACATAATCTCATGCAGGTAGGTACACCTACACATATATTAAATAAATTCTTAATTTTAAAAAATGAATTTAAGAAGCTAAAAAGATGGTTCAGTCAGTAAAATGTTTGCCTTCCAAACATGAAGACTTGAACTTGATCTCCAGAACCCATATATTAGAGGGGGGGAAAAAAAAAAGCTTGGCCTGGTGGCATGTGCTTGTAATCACATCACAGCAGTCTAGACACGGGGAGAGTAGGATCCTTGAAATTTGTTGACATCACTCTAGCTTACTTGACAAGCTCTCAGCTGGAGAATTGAGGCTAGACATCTAGCAAAGATTATCCCCTGGCCTCCATACACACACACACACACACACACACACACACACACACACACACATACACACACACACACACGCACACACACACTTTTAAAAATTAGCAGGAGGTTGTCTGTGGGCTTTATTTTTATTTTAAAAAACTAATAAGCAAAACTTTGTTAGTTTCTTGGTTGATCATTTGATGTGTACTCAACCACTGATTTTTTAACTGTGGGATGGCAATTAAGTCCTTCCTTCCTCCTAAATCTCACTGAACAGCCTGAAACTCAGCTGGACAAACTACAAATGTTGCAGAGTAAGTTCAAGGCCTAAACTGGATACTTTCCTTAACAAATAATATGTGTATATAAGCAAAATATGTATGCATACACATACACATACTTCAAAACCTTTTTCTTTATGGCCAGTTATTGACCATCACATTTAATGTTTATTTTTCCTTCGTAAGAGTGGCACCATTTTTTAGCTAAAGATCTTACTTTGTCAAACTGTGTATAACATTAGACAACTTCTGTATTTGATGAACAATAAAGAATCTGAGCCAAAGTCATACATATGATATCGTATTCACCACAATTTGCATGATGTAAAATACCCACGAATTACCACCACACTTCCTTTGTCTCATTCCTCACTAATGGTGAGCTTTTATTTCCCTCAGAAGAGAAAACAATGACTTATTTCTTAGTTTGAAAACATCTAAATTTACTCCATAGCTGAATGCAAAATCAAAGTACAAACTTTTAATTCGTATTTCCCTTAAGACCTTAGGCATCTCTAATTGTCGTTTTCAAAGATATGCAGATGTTGTCTAAGACAGACATTCAAAAAACACCAGAAATTGAAGAAAAGGGCTGTGGACAGAAGTCTTAAGTCAGGAGAGTGAAATGTGAGCCTGTACAGATGTTATAGCTATTTCCATGATAAACACTAGCCTTCTGTGCATGAATGTAGCAGCATACTTTAATGTGGGTTAAAGATCTTAACATAAATTATTTTTATCTTTGGCAATAGCCTAATATTTCAGTTTTGTGTACTATTTCCAGTTTTCACTTTCAAAATGAACCTAGTGGACTTTTTCATTTTTAAAAGCCCCATTCCAGGTCTTGTACCTTAACACCAGGTTGCCTGATTTTTTTTTTTTAGTGAAGTAAATTATATAATCAATAAGCAACATTTATTATCTTATTCCTTGGTGACTGACAGAGAATTTGTTAAAGCATGTAGTTTCTGGGTGAAAAATTTAATACTTCATCAATTTCTTTATTATTACACATAGAGATTTCAACTATTAAAATGTTTTCACCCTGTTTGGGTCAATAAAAGAATCCCAGAGTTGTCATTTCATCGTTAGTCTCCATATTGTTACCATTTTGTGTTTGATTTTTTATTTTAAACCAAAAATGTCTACCTGTAACATCACGTGACCAGAAGCCCAGAACACTCTGATTAGAAAGAGTGGTGGAATCCTGGTATTTAAATTAGATGAATTTGTTAGGTCAGATCTACGGACTTCATCAGCTGAGACAAGAGTCCCTCCAAACTAGAGAAACTCATAAAATTGTACCACACAAGGACAACCAGGCCCATCAGAAAGAAAAGCAAGCTAACTCTGTGATACCATGATCTAGAGGAATTTACAGCCACTGGTTTCTCTGTGCTCAACGGGCAAGCACATTGAGACTAAGATGCAGTGAAACTCATGAGTAAGAGTGTGACTTTTAAATCCAACACCTTATGTAATCCCTCCCACCCCCGGCAAATTATTGTCTCCTAGGATTGGAAACTAATGTTGATGTATTAGCAATCCATCAAAGGACATAATTCCTCAGTGCCCAACGTGAGACAATTTTTGCATATCTAATTGTAAACACAACCAGGATCTCTGCAGCACACAAATCTCAGCAAGGGGTAAAAGTTACAGCCAATCCCAAGGATTATGCAACTTCATCCATGCTTAATGACAAGAAAACATGTAATGTGACTGATAATGCCGCTGTATGACACAAAACAATAGCTAAGGTGATTTTAATTTTCTATCAGCCCCCCAATGAAACATTGAAAAGCCTACATCACAGATGAATTTCCATCTCTAGTGTATCTGCCCCCCAAATGATTTATAGAGACTCTGCAAATATTTAAGATGCTTTGTGTATTTACAAAGTAACATTCTGCTGTGAGCAGCAAGCATATACTGCAATTACCCCTGCAGACACAGAGCATTTCATGCTTATTTTAAAATTATGAAAGATCCTAAAGTGAACTTCTCAAATTATGATTTGAAGCATTCCATAGCCCTTCTTTGAGGTGGGGCTCATGTTTTGAAAAGAGATTGCTCAGTCATTTAAAATCAAAATGGTTCTTGATGTATTGACTTACTTTTTCAGAGAATAACGTAAAAAAAAACACTCAGAAATAGCATTATTAATATAAACGTACCTGAACCAGAGTCAAATTTGGTTTCTGATCTGCAAAGGAAAAAAAGAAATTAATATAAAAATTTTGAAAGGTCTGAGGTGGGGAGGTACGGTAATTATAGATTTCTACATAATGGTCAAGAAATAAAATCATTTCCTTTAATGTAAAGCTATATTTATGTCAACCATTTCAATTGAATGCAATATATTAATTCAGATTACATAATAAGAAAAAAAATAACTTTCAAAGTTAGCTTTTCCGAAAAGGGGTCTTCTTTTTCAAAATACCCAATCTTTCTTTACAGATAAACTTTCTTCAATAGTACTGTGGAACGATAAAAAAAAAAAAAATCCAATCCATAATTATGCCTTTTCCTTTATTATGAAAGATTTTCAATTACTTAACACCAAGTAGGTCCTTAGCACACAGTGAATGAACTTGGTAACCCCATACACTTAATAAGGAGGAGGAAGAAAACGGTGCCTTGTGGGAACATTATGTTTCAGATACAGGTTAACACGGGCTGTAAATCCAGAAGCCTTTGAAGCCGTTGGTCTGGCTGTGGGAAACTGCTGTTGGTAATTACTCTCAAGATGCCGCCGATGCGCTGTCAAGCAGAATTAACCCCGTGGCTGGGCCGATCCACACAGGCCACTCTAAGACCGCATTGTCTGTATCTAGCTCACAAACCAATTAGTGGGCATGCTCAGTTGGATTTATATCACACATTAACCATCAACGGCATATATGTTCACAGCTGCCGCAGCAAGATACAAGAACCAAACAGCAGGAGTCCTGTTAGGGATGTTACGTGGACAGAGGAGATTTTTTTCCCCTCTGTGGAAAATGCAGTTAACTAACTGGGAAAGAAGAGCTCTTTGAAATTATGCCAGAGTACCAAAGCATTTTAGGAGAGGCTCTCCTCACTTAAGCTAGCCTCCAGAGAACCCATCAAAGAAGAGGGGAAAATAAGGGGCTTCTTTGGTCACAAAAATTCATCTTCTCAAGTGCTCTCAAATTTCCCCTTATTTCTAAACAGAATCAACAACTTTTCATATACATATTATATATAAGTATATATGGGTATACAACACAGCTAGAAGTATGTATGTATGTATGTATGTATGTATGTATGTATGTACACATGTATGTATGTATGTAACCACAGACCTGGTTTTGTGGGGGATTTCTCTGTGTAGTGCTATGAATTGAATCTAGGGGCTCATGCATGCTGGGCAAGCACTCTGCCCCTTAACTCTACCCCTAGTTCAGCCAATCATAGGTTTTAGCAAACAAATCTATGATGTAGATTTCCCAATTTCCTTCCCAGACCTAAGCCTCATCTCTGTTCTTCTCTTCTGCGCCCTCCCATTCCCAATGCAAATTCACGTCACTCTTTGAGATCAATGATTCTGGAAAGCCTTGCTTCATGATTACACCATCCTCAAGGACAACCCAAAGTCTCTAGTATGTTTCTCTACTGGCTTCCTTACCTACTCCCTCCCTAGACCTCAGCTAGGCGGTATTAACCTTTGTAACCAGGGCATCCAAATATACCTGGTGTACATAATCAGATGTCTCTCAAGAGAAACTACAACAACAAAGGTCTTGATAAAACATACATTTTGAGATATAAAAATTATGTCAAAAAACCTTCCAAGAATCTTACCTTGTCCTGAGACAGCTGGTCAGTGTGATATATACATATAGATAGATAGATAGATATAGATATAGATATATATGGGTGTGTGTGTGTGTATATATATATATATATATATATATATACCCATAAAATGTACAGAAAACATTTCCACAAACCAATTACCACCCCCCACCCCGTCATCAATTAAAAAGTAGAAAACATTTTCATAATCCTCAGACATAGTATTAAACATTAAAAAAATACATTGTGAATAATTAAAACATGATCATAAAATTAATATGGTCAGATTTGGGGTTAGGGGAAATTGGCCCTATGTCATGTGTTCTTTCGAACTCCTATGAGATTTTATGTGCTCACACAGTCAGAGACACGAAGTCTGTTGTGTCCTACTGTATCATAGCATTTGCTACCATAATCTGTTCATAGAAGCTCTTTGAGAACATGCATAAAATAAAATACAGACAGGAACAAGCAATCCACAGGGGGAAAAAAAGAATGTGTAACATACAGACATGGGCAGCAGAAGGAGATCAGGGCGTTCAGTCACCATTCTAAGCATTCCTGGCAGGCTTAGTTCTAGTAGCTATACTAGATACTGTGGTGATAGATTATGTACCCTAATAAACTTGCCTGAGGATCAGAGGACAAAGCCAGCTACTAGATTATACATAGAGGTCAAGCAGTGGTGGCACACACCTTTAATCCTATCACTCAGGAGGCAGACATCCATGTGGATCTCTCTGAGTTCAAAGCCACACTGGAAACAGAGCCAGGCAGTGGTGGCACACACCTTTAATCCCAGGAAGTGATGTCTGGGCGGAGAGAGGTATATAAGGCTTGAGGAAACAGGAACTAAAGCAGTTCAGTTGAGACCCTTTCGGGTGAGGACTCAGAGGCTTTCAGTCTGAGGATTCATGGAAACAGGATCAGCTGAGGAGTTGGTGAGGTGAGGTGGGCTGTGGCTTGCTCTGCTTCTCTGATCTTTCAAGCTTGCACCCCAATATCTGGCTCTGGGTTTTTTATTAATAAGACCATCTAAGATTTGAACAAGATACCAGAATACAAAAAAAGCACAAAACAGGACACGAAATGGATAAAATCATGGTGGTTCCAAAGATACCCATTCTATTCCTAGACTACAGTCAAAATGATTTCATTGGTTCCTTCAGTAATCCCCAAAGGAAGGTGTTGGGAGCTATCCTCGCTTTCCAACATGCATTCCCCCTTTTTCCTTTTCCAAAGTTTTAAGCAGGCACATGGCCGCATAGGTGAGATAATATTTCCACACCTCTATTTAGCACCTCTCTCGTGGCTCATTGCAACCATGTGACCTAATTATCTTGCACCAGGCTCCATCTCTTAAAGACCCAACACCTGGACACATCACACTGGGGACCCATGTTCCAGCTCATGCACTTTTGGTGGGCGTACTGCATCCACAGGCAAATCACAGAAAGTCTTACACTGGCGTTGACAAATGTCCAAGTGTGAAAACAAAGATCCTTTGAATGGGAAGCCAGAGAGGTTGACACTAAGAAACTCAGTTTTCATTCAAATTTTTTTAAATAATTTAAATATATAACATATACATTCTTTTTATAGCAAAATGGCAGCTTTTCAAGAGAGGGTAGATTTGGCCAGCGGTTAGAGTTGTATGCTCCTGGAGGAATAGAAACTATCATTTTCTATTTCCACAGAACATTCTATGTAAGTCAAAATGAAAAGAATTGAAGCGGAGGATATACAGTCTGATACAGCAGAGAATACTTGCCCAGCGTGAGTAGACCTGGATCTGATCCCTAACACTGGATTGGACTGGTGGCGGCGGCACAAGACTTGGGAGGTTGAAGCAGGAGGATTAGGAAGTGAAGGCCTTTCTCAGCTATACCGCAAGTTCTAGGCCACCCTGAATTGCATGAAACCCTGACAGTACAGAATAAGAGGAAGGAGGAAGGGGAAAGGTTGGGGAAGATGAGGAGAAAACTACATTGTTTCAGGGCAGAAATTATAACATTTCAGGGCCCTACCTACTAATCTCAGAATTTCTTTCTGCCCCCACAAGCCACGCAAAGGCTTTTCTTAGAATAGATAAGCGTAGTGAGCATCCATGTGTTTTTTCAAGCAGTGTAACTACAGTACACTTCTTCTATTTGAGATATTCCCATTCTCTCTGCTACCTAATCCCAGAAATGTTCTGCACATATCAACTTCATAATTAGTTTTCTGAAAAAAAAAAATTACCAGACCAGGCTAATTCTTTGGCTCCATAGCACTACCATGCCTTCCTATGCCTATAACGTATCTGTTCAAAGGAAGTTTTCTTATACTGCATCTTAGTGGTTTTTCAAAATACTTATTAATTACATATTACTTGTGAATACACGTAGGCTTCAGTGTGGCATTTCCACATTGTTTTGTAAGGATGCCCAGAGTTCAACAATGGCAGCAGACACTATTAACTGCCTACCCGACAGCTAGTCTGTCTCCTCCCCAGTAACTGAACAGCAGTTCCTGAAAGGGGCTAAGACATGCCCACTGCAGTGCTGATTTCTGCGCATGCTCTGATGACCGGTTCAAGGACAGCCCCTTAGCCCAGCTGAGTCCTGAAAGGTAAAGTCTGTGGGTGAGTGTTCACGGAAAGGTCGTTCTTCATTTAAGAGAGAGAGGTTATTGAGAGGGAAGGCCCTTCTCAGGCTCTCCCCACCTTTCCTGCCTTCAAAGTGGCTGTGTGCAGACGCCAGTGGGAATGGCCAGTGTCTTGCAGCCCCCAGGGAAAGGCCCAGGACAATCACAGAAAAGCATCTGGGCGCCTCAGTGTCACTCAGGCCGGCTCAGCTAATGCCTAGATGCATTAACCTTGCTTTTATTTGGGGATTTCTATCCAAAACCAAATACATTCTGTTTCTTTTAAATCTGAGCATTAAGAGATTATTCCTCATCGATCCCTGTGTTTGAAAATTTTTGGCAATAATGCTACAAGATATAGACAAGACGCAAACCACACAAACACAAACCACGGTCAGCTTAAATGTTTAGATACACATAGGCTATCACAACCCAAACCCAAGAAAATGCTAAAATGTCTATTGGCTGTATAGTTTTTTTTTAATCAATCACAAATGCTCGGAAATTTTTAAATCAAAATAATCATTAGTAAAAGAGCAGCAAGAACTGAGCCAAGCCATGGTGAAAACAAGATACACTTGGAACCACTGTGATGAATTATGCAGTTAACACAACGTATTGCATTGTTTATCTTCCACTTCCTTATGAAAATCAGATTTGCGGTTACTTGGTTAGGAAATATTGCTGAATGGAAACGTGCTAAAGTCTTAAAATTTTGCAAATACTAGACCCTCTGCATCTATGTTATGGTTATGCAGCATG